AGGTGCTATGACTGCAACTGAAGAAAGCAGTAAATTTAAATAATAATAACTTCACATTTCTAAGCCATCCTCATCCTAAGGGATTATAAAGCACACTCTGCCCTAGAAAAACTACACAGCAGTTTTCTTTTGGGATGAAAAGTGACAAATGACTTCTCTAATTTAAACCACAGGGAGAGAGTATATGGAAGCAGAATATTAATATCCTAAGTGTCAGGGTTAAATACTTTATCATTACTTTTTAATTGTTTTATTTACTGTTTGTTAAGTGCCAACAATAAACTCTGAATTGTAGAAAGTGCAAAATGCAGTCATTAACTACTTCAAAGACTTAGAATACAAACAAGAGAGATACACAGGGAAGCTCAGAACAGAGAAAATAATGAAGGCTGATGCTCTCTTTGAATTGTTATTGATTCACTTATTACTCCAGTGAAAAATAGAACTGGAGCTTTAAATGACTCAAAATGCTCTGAGGCTTAATATACTATTCCTTCTGAGTGATAGCACCTCTAAGTGCATTGTGCCCTCTAGTGTCCATTTTAACTTCTAACATAAAAAATACTAGAGACATCCACTATTTCCTACATGCATTTTTTGCATCTAATTTATGTAAGCAATTGCCTAATTTGTAAATGCAAATTACATTGACTTTAACAGCTACCATTTTACTGTACTGGGCATACCAACAGGTATGTACACAAATGGAGCATGCCTCTAAATTAGAGATGTAAATGTATGATGGGAATTTGCACATTTAGATTTGAAAGTGTGACCCAAGGAGTCTGGCCATATATTGTAGCACTGGAAGCCACCAAAGGAAAAGAAAATACAGTAAAAGGGAAACAAGAGAGGCAATTTGGTTGAAGACTTTGCTTCAGTATTTTTGCAGAGTGGACTTATGCTCCCCTAAATCTGGCTAAACTAAAGACTCTGTGAGACTGAAACAGTCCTGTCTCAGCCAAAAGAAACCAAAACACAGGGTAAGCAGATAAACAGCATGAACCATCTCTGCAAGCAAGTATGGACCATTGGTAAGAATATGGTAACTAATGTTCCAGGTGCTCCAGATCTGTTCCCTGGGGCATGGTCTGAGACTCTTCTGCCATTTTCTACTTCCCTGGAATTGGAAGAAATAAACAAGTACAGTTCTTTTATAGTGATTAATCTGTTTAGGTCTTCTTGGGTGTGTCTACATGTGCACTTTACTGTGAAGTAGACTAATTTACTGTGCAGTAAAGCATCACCATCTACACATGTGCGGCAATTGAGCTGGTATAAACTAATTTACAGTGCCGTCACATAGCCCCATCGGACATAGGTACTATCTGAGAATGGAGTAAAATATTGTGCTTAAATGCATATAGTTTCTAGGGTTGGGAGGGATCTGAACAGATCACCAAGTCCGACTCCCTGCCCTGAGCAGGAACGAATGCTGGGATTATAATACCCCAGCCAGATAGCTATTCAACCTCCTCGTGAAGACCCCCAAGGTAGGGGAGAGCACCACCTCCCTTGGGAGTCCATTCCAGAGCCTGGCAGCTCTAACCGTAAAGTAATACGTCCTGATATCAAGCCTGAACCTACTCTCAATCAATTTGGGGCTGTTATTCCTTGTTATCCCAGGTGGTGCCTGGGGGAACACAGCCTCACCTATTTTCCACTCGTCCCTCCTGGTGAGTTTATAGATGGCCACCCGATCCCCTCTGTCTTCTCTTGTGGAGACTGAATAGATTCAGGCCTTTTAGTCTATCCTCATAGGCCCTGGCCTGCTGCCCGCTAACCATGTAAGTGGCCCTCTTCTGGACACTCTCAATGCTAGCCATATCCCTCTTGAAGTGCAGCGCCCAGAACTGGATGCAGTACTCCAACTGCGGCCTGACCAGTGCCATATAGAGGGGCAGGATCACCTCCCTGGACCTGCTTGTGATGCATCTGTAGATGCATGACAAGGTGCAATTAGCCTTACTGACTGCTTCCTTGCATTGGAGGCTCATGTCCATCCTGGAGTCAACAATGACTCTAAGATCCCTTTCAGCCACTGTGTTGTTGAGAAGGGAGTTCCCCAGCCTATAGGTATGTTGCTGGTTCCTTCTCCCTAGATGCAGCACCCTGCACTTGTCTGTGCTGAATTCCATTCTAGTCTCATCCTCCCACCTCTGTAACCTGTCCAGATCTACCTGGATTCTTTCCCTCCCCTCCAGTGTGCCCACTTCTCCCCACATCTTTGTGTCATCAGCAAATTTGGACAGCATGATTTCCATGCCCACCTCCAAGCTGCTGATAAAGATGTTGAATAGCACAGGCCTGAGGACTGAGCCCTGGGGAACTCCACTGCCCACATCCCTCCAGGTCAAAAACTACCAGTCCATCACCACTCTCTGGGCATATGTAGATGATAATGTTGGGATTATTCTGTTACCAGCTGAAATTGCATTGGAGTTTATTCAGTCACTTTAATTGCACATACAGATGCATCTCTTTACTATTTTAGGGTTACTTTGGGTCTGTTTCTTCCCTAACACTTAATGAAGAGAAGGGGGAGTGAAATTCTGGCCATGCTAATCAATGGCAAAGACTTTAATACAACTAGCATTTCATCTACAACAGTGGTTTTCAACCTGTCTCATTTGGGGATCCCTGGACATTTTTGAATGGAGGTGTAGAACCCTTTGAATTGTAAGTGTGGGATTCACATACTTTTGATTGATCATAGTAATTTTTTGTGGAAACCTTAGACATAGTCCACAGACCACAGGTTGAAAACCACTGATCAACAAATAATTTCTTCTTTTTAAGAGAGTACATTAGAAGGCCTCCTTTTGGCCTGTATATGTGTCCCCAGTAAGTCAGCTGAGAATCCTCTCTTTCCAGTCCAATCCTCTGCTTGGGGTCCTTTGGAGGGAGTTAATCCCTTCCCAATCTGATTTATGGTATACATCCTATCACAAAATTAAGTTGAGCAGTGTATTTGATTTAGACATGGTCGCGCAATATACCATGTTTGTGAGAAATTTGTTAGTCTGTTTCCACAAAATTAACATCCAATAAGTTATCTGTCTTTAAGAATGTAATAAGCAATTATGCAAAAACCATTAATGAAAGGATAAACTGTGAAAGTCAAACAGCTATAAAATCACACATCTAAAATTATGAAGAATAAAATGGTTAGATTAGCCAAGGCACATCTGGAAGGGAAATCTGTGATCATGAATTATTAGCACTAGCAAAGTGAAGGTTCAACCTATTAACAAAAATCAGTTCAGTGTTGTTTATATAAGATCATAAGGTAACTCCTGCATTAATTATTATTCAGTATTCCCAAATCAGGTGCAAAGGGATTGAAAAAGGGCAATTCAAACTTACTTTTGTTTGCATTTTAATTTAGCAATTTAGCATTGCTAAGTAATAATTTTACATTAGGGGACTTAGAAGAATCAGACCTTCTATGATTGCTCAATATGAATGCTCAATATGCTGGTAGGAATAGTGAGCAAGGTTCCCTTCTGACTCCAGTTACTTACTGGTGTACTTCTTGATTTAAGTGGAGCTGATTCTGATTCACTCTATGTTGAGAGGCTTTTAAGTAGGTTTTTCACTGAGAAATGTTTGTATCAAAGAAGTTAACCTCATAAGAAAATGATGTATTCCTTTATTTCCTTAAAGAAATTGGAAGTTACTAAAGAAAGGAGCAGTTTTCTCTGGCTTTCCTCTGGTCCTTAAAAGGATCCTAGGAAGTACATACTCAGTATAATATTCATGCTTAAGCAGACAGGAACTTGATTTAGCTAGGGGAAAAATGATAAAACCACTTTTTTCCAACAAAATTTTTTTGAGTTGATTGTTTTTTGTTTTTCAATAAAAAAATCCCCCAACATCTGAAAAATGTCCTTATTTGTCAAAAGAAATGCTTTTTTCCCTCTTCCCCTGCCCCTTTTCAATCTGTGTTTCTTTTCCTTTTTCATTTAATTTTTTTCACAAAATGAGGATGGAAAGTAAAAGTGTGGCTGAAGGCAGGAAATGAAAACCAAGGACTGAAATCTTTTATTTTCATTTCACTTTGACTAAAAAATAATTAATTTTACCCTTCCCTGGCCTCCTGAACTTGAAAACTTAATGACATTTTAAACAAAATAGTTTTGTTTTGTTTTTCTGCCCTGGAAAGTACAACTTCTGACCATCTCCAAATATGCGGCATTTAGCCAATGCAAGTGACTGCTTTTGCAAAGCATCGTATTTGAGGAGTATTTTCTCGCACCAAACTATAGATAGTCAATCATCATTTTTGTCACAGTTATAACCTTGCTGATGTGAGCACTCTGAAGTGGTACCCTAATGCATCTGAGAGCTGCACTGGAATGAGCTACTTAGAGTAGTGGCGACTTCTGAAAATGAGTCAACATCCATGTAGATCTCAGTACCCTGGACCAAATCTTCTTGGTAAATACAGGCTTTATATTTAGATCAACCTAAGCAGCATTAGGTAAATCTAAATGCCCAATTGTACAGGCATGCAGAGAGCTTAAGTCACCCCCACATTGCAGGTGCACTAACTTAGATTGAGATCAGGTTAACCTAAGTTTAGAAAGGGTTAACTTGATCTCATGAATGCCTGTCTGCATTTGGGTTGGAAAAACCCAACTGCTTACCCCAGCCCTAGGGTTACACTATTCCTACTCTTCTAACACAGAATGGGTTATTTTTATTCTCCAGATCCCACCTCTGATGGAGCAATCCTCCCCGCGCAGACCCACTACACCCCTCAATCCCGCCAGCCCTCCCCACCCTGACTCGCCACCCCCCAATGGACCTACTAGCTTCCCTGGTTTCCCAAGTTACTTACTCTGGTTTCCCTGCGTGGCTTCTGGGACCAGAAGCTGCATACTCCATTCCCAGTCTTATGTGCACATGGCTTAATGAGAGCCACATAAATGTAGACCAGGTATGGTGACTGAATCTAAAATAATGTACACACCTTCTGCCTTTTCCAGCGGAGGTACAAGCTTCTCAAAATGGTGAGAAAATTCAGTACCGCCTTTATAAAGCAGCCCTAAAAGATCTAATGCAAAGTTAATATGCTTCTATATACTTTTCTCCTCAGAAAATCATGGATCCACAATAAAATATAACTTTTAATTCTGTATCTTGTGTTCAAGCAGCTATATTTGCTGTGTGCACAGTTGCTTCTATGGAAGCCCTTTCTTCTAGGACTATGTTCTTAGTTAGTTTGATTTATGGTTGATAGTTTGATCCATAATGGCTAAACACATTGCAACTAGAAATCTAAACTCTTTTGAAGTAAACATTTCTTTCATGACTGAAATCTAGTTATCAAGACATGACTAATCAATATAATATAGAGGTGTCTGGAGACTAAAATCACCTTAACACTTTTGGCAAAACCCTTCCCCTATTTAAATGAGAGGCAAAATTCCTACTGACTTCAGAAACGAGTCTGCTTACGACACCTAATTCACCTTTCATTGCTACCAGAGATTTCTGGGGTTTACAGTTATAAAATAGGACATCTGACAGGAGAATCAGACTCAGGAGCAGCACACCTATTTACTTTAGATAAAAATCAAACCCACACAGAATTTATTCTCCTGGCAAATTATTTTTTAGACAATATGCCTGAGGTCCATATAAATTTCTTTCCTTTTAATCAGGCCTACTGGCAATATGTCAGAAAGGTATTTTATTGCTTTTCAGAACCATTTATTTTGACCACACACAGCACCAAATTTAACTAAATAGTCACAGGACGTAAAGACAATTTCAATGCCACACCAGTCTACAGGATTTATGGAAAGGTGGTATTTTCCATCATGAAAATGGTGTGTCAATAACATTTAGACATATATATGAGTTCTTTATATTGCTGCTGAGTGTAAATGTCATTATGCTAAGTAGCCCACAGCAGCTGCAGGTAGGATTGAACATTCTGGGCAATCATTTTTGTGATACACAGTCAACATGCTTGTTCTTGCAAGAGAAGAATAAAAAGTTTCATGAACTAGCATTTTGAAACCTAATGTGTGTATAGGGGAGGGGCATTACTTGATAGAGCAGTAGTTTGTGCAAAGTGCTACGCTTCATATGAACACAGAACACACGGTCCCTTTCTCAATAATTTACAATCTGAAAAAAATAACAGACAAAATCGGTCAAGGGGAAGATATAGAAATAAAAAACAGCATCAAAAAGGCACTCAACCTTTGTTCATTTAATGTAAAATATAATAATAATTAAACAAGCATATGCTAATTGAATCTGGTTGCTTTCGTTTTTTCCCCTTCTCTATAAAAATGACACAAAGTGTCTCACTTACTTGAGTCACCAGTAATGCTTATGACTTGGCTCTGTCCATCACCTGTTGTCAACTTCTGTTAATTTATATCTGCCAACTTTCTGCCAACTAAGGGAATATAATATGCATTTACTTTAGAAGTGGATTTGCTAAATTGCATTAGGCCCTGTATGGAGATTTTAATCCAAAATTAAAGAGTCCATGATTTGATTTAGTTTTGATCATTTTCAAAGTGAAGTGGATAAATATGGGTTTGAATGTTGTTTAAATAATCTTAAAAGTCCTTTCAGACATCATCTATAATCCTTTACTTGGCCTGTGGGAGTGATCATCCTTGACTATGAAGGATCGCTGCCAGTGCTGCATCAGGTTCATTTGGGTTAACTTTCCCTGTAGACAGGCCCTAAATCTAGAACAGCCAGGGTGAGAGGATCTCTGGTCCTAAACTGCTATTACTCTTCATTCCAAAAAGGGACTTTGAAAGTGAAATAGTTATCCTCCATAATGGCTCCCTTACACCAAGTAAAACAGCTGGATCAGAGAAATGTTGCCTTAAAAGCTTTATACCCAGGTGGGAGAACATATTGTTACCAGTCAGTGTAGAGAATAGTGGTAGGGCTGCCTACCAAAGATCACCTCACTGGACTCAAGAGTGGTGGAAAGCCAGGACTGGGGTGGCAGGGGTATTTTGGGTGTGAGGATTCAGAACACAGTATTTTGGAGATTCATGTAAGTTTAAGATGCCCTTTTGAGAATCATGTTGAACTGATGGTTGTGCTGTGTAAAGGAAAGTTTTGTGTTATACAAGGCTTCTCTGTATGACAGATGACGGACCTCTTTTAGACCTCCTGGCTTGGAATGACTACTGAAGAGCACCCAGGTAGTGCTGTGGCCCACATGGCAGCCTGGGGAGTTGGTTAATACAGGGGTGTCTGTTTTGCAAAGGACCTATATATAATCTATGGAGTACCTCATGGTTGAAGTATACAGTAGCTTAAAGCTATACTAGCATGGCTCTGCCCTTGGATTTTGAGTTCTGTGCCAGACTTTTTAGATATGCAGCAACACAGCTCACAACTGAATCTTTATATATGGTTTAAATAAGGGCCTCCACCTAGCCTCTCCTGCCCACAAGACCTAACAGCCACTGACCAACTATTATATTATGGGTACAGAATGGAAAACACTCCCAGGATTTTTATGAGCTGCTCTGTTAGTTTCTCAGACAAGGACAGAGCAGTTCACTTTCCCCCGTTCATGTCAATAAGCACAATGTATTGTCAAAAAAATTTATAATAGCAGTTGTGCTTGTCACAACCAATATTGTGAAGGCTCCAGATTCCCTGTTTGTACACCAGTCTGTTCCATTTAACCTTAGAAAGATTCACATGTAGAAAGAGCAGCAGTTGTTACTGCTCCCCTGGCCTCTCTGATCAGTTCCTGAGCGACGGTAGGTTTTTCTAGCTGCAGCAGGCTTCTTAAGAATTCTGCTTAGCGAAGCCATGCTGTATAGATAAATACATCCTCAGCCATCCCAGTCCACAACCCCTACTCGTCTAGCCCCTTCAGAGAGAGGAGGAATTGTGGTCACTTACACTGTTATAAACCTTTGTTGTGATTTACTAACTGCCAGAGGCCTTCTGATGGAAATTGCTCAGAGAGAATCCTTCATAAAACTGCCTTCATGTCAGCTCAAGGTTGTGAAACAGTTTCTATACTAACTCCTTGTTTTACCCCATGTGCTTGTAACAGTCAGAAAATACCTTTCACCCTGAAATGTTGCATGCTTTGGTGTTGGTCCCATAACGAATCGTTTTGTAATAGTTGAACAATTTATCTCCAGCTGCTGGAAGCAAACTGGAAGCAATAATGCTGAAAGAGATTTAGGAATAGTGGAAAGGCTGACCTTCTGTGCTGCTATATTGCATTACAGTCCAATCTTGGGCTGACTTCAGAGAGATCACATCATAACAGTAGAAGGTGAAAGCTCTTCTCCATGTATATCTGGCAAGCCTTCACTTAGACTACTGTGTCTAAGCTGAGCCACTTCACTGCATGAGGAGGACAGAGCTTAGAAAAGAGCAGAAAAACTATTACAGGGTTGAAAAGACTGATTTATGAGGAAGGACTAAATAAGTAAGTGTTGATATATGTGGCTTAGGTAAATAAATAGTAGTATATAAATGTACGTTCTATATGTGAATACCAGTATGTCCATATATTTGAGGCTATGAAGGCAAAGGAGGCAAAGGAATTATCGAACAAAACAAAAGATGTCATGGTTGGATGACATGAAAAAAATGTGGGTAAATATCAGGAGGAACTCCTGATATGAGAACTATTAGTTTGTGGACCTATTACTGGCTTTGCGTGTGTAAAATTGGATGGCACAAATGCTAACAAATAGGGGCAAGCCTGCCCTGGTAGGGAGGTGAGCTAATAGATCAGGCCCATCTATAAATAATATGGTCTGTCTCTGGTGAAAAATTGCTGCTCAAAACTAAAACAAAGGTATTTTTTCAATGTATAACCATCAGGCTATTCCTGATATCCTGGAGTCCTGTTATTCCTGCCTTATATCCCTTTTCATATTTTTTGAAAGGCCTCATTACTTCTGATATGGAACAGAAACAAATTCCAAAACATCAGATTTTTTTGGAAAAACAATCCATCCAATAATTAAATAAAGGATTTATCATAATCTGGTGATTTTTCATGAGATAAAAAGATAGTGGTCATAAAGTATGTCCATTGTAAAAACTGGCTACCTAATAAAATTGAGTGATGCTTTTGTTCTAAGAAATGGAGTTTGAGGATAAACATTGGTTCAGGTCCAATGTACTTAAATTTATTCTTTTTTTTTTTTCGCTCCTAGGAATACTTTTTTTTAAAATGGATCAGCCCTTCATATACAGTGTAAGGGTTTGGTCCATGTCTAGTGCTTATTCATACAAGTAGTACTTATTGGCTTTGCAAGAGCTAAAGGAATGAACCCAAATTCCAGTTAGGTTTATTTATTTGGTTTTGTTAATAGCAGTAAGTGCTTCAGACCCAATCCAATTCTTACTGGAGGCAGTGGATAAAACTCCTTTTACATCATTAGCTTTGGACCAAGATTTTAATTCAAAAGACTTTTTCCCCTCTCACCTTCACTTCCAATTTGCAGGAATAAACTTCTTCCCCTGCTTCTTCCTTTAAAGTTTGTTTTCTACAGGTCTATATATGAAACTGAAACTTCATACGCATCTCTGACTGAAATGTCTAATTCTAAAAATTTCTACCATCTGTTGTTTTATCAAAGGCTGCCAGCATCAGCTCAAGCTAAAAGAAATTATTATAGGCAAATTAAATGAAGTAATTTCATTTTCTATAAGTTAAATATTCTAGAAGTTACTGGAGGCATCCCAAATCGTGGGTGTTATGTCTTTGTAGACAGATAAATGTTAGCAGAACATCTTGTCATCAGTTCAAGTCATAATTTTCTTATAAACAAGTCTTTTTGAATAGGAAATAAACTCAGAGAATTGTAAACCACAAACAGAACCATAGGGCAAAATGATCTGTAAATAAATATTTATTTATAGCATGCTCTAAAATTAACCAGTCCTTCTCCCATGTTTTTTTTGGGTAGATTTTTGGGAGGTTTTTTGTTTTTTGTATTTTTTCACCTCCTTTACAAGATCCCTCTGTGTAAAGTTGCTGACAAGTTATGCTCATTTCCATCCTCAAAGAATTTCAGGGGACATCAACATAAGTTTTGAAACAATGGCATAAAAAGCATGCAAAATATTTTCAAATATTTCAAGTAACAGTCCTGTTCAACACTATTTAATTCTTACAGAAACTTATGAAAAAAAGAACTGCCACATAACTAAAATATAATTTATGCATATTTATTTCAGATGCTATCCAGACATGGAAGACAATATGTAAGTAAGTATTTTGGCCAATATATCTGAATATGTTTTTTAAGCTGGAATTTTAAGGGAAATTAATCAAATAAAGATGAATGATTAAAGTATTTACATTATCTCTCCTTAAATCGTTTTTAAAATAGATACAACAGAGGGGGTTTAAATACATTTTGAGATTTATTCATGTCTTTATACAGATCTCTTAACAGATTAAGTACAATTTGAATAGCCAGTAATATATTTGCATTGCAAAGTCTCATGTAACAAAGTACCACAATATGACTTTATAAGCGCATCAAAAAAAAAGAAGATTTTGGGCAAATGGATAGTAACAATTAATAATTTTAGTTTTAGGGATTGTTTTGGCCAGAAAAGCAATCATTATAAGTAATCTTATCTAAATCTTGTAGAGGTGGATGAGTTATACGAAAATAACCATGTCCTTATTGAATATCAATTATTATCACTCCTGGATTAACTGAGCCTAATTTTAGACATAACCAGTGATTATGGAGTAGAGACATAACACTTAAATGAACCAGTTTCAGATTCCTGAAACTAAATGTCTAAATGTATATTAAATATCACCTACTGCGGTGCCTCAGTACAATTTCGGTTCAACTTAAGTGTTCCTAAAAGATTTTTAGGTTCCTTCCTTTTAAGAGAGGGGCTGTATCTCCTTTTGGCTGATATTTCAGGTTAAAAGCAGTATCAGCAACATCTCATCCAAGAGATCGATAATTTGGTTCCTTTGAGTATGCAGGCACAGTAATGAACTAGAGAGATGGGATGATTAACTGTTAAATGAGTTTTGGGAACATTGGAATATTAGCTATTAGGAAATGAATTTACCTTAAAAACTAGTTGTCACCCATACCATGTAGGCCCCTGGGCCAGGAACAGAAATTATTTTTTTTACCAGTATAAGTGATTGGAAACTGGTCTATACTCATAACAGAACAGAAGTTCAGCACACATAGACTGGTTTAAAAATGGTGGAACCCAGTCTAAGATTTGCCCCCTCCACCAAAAGGTGAATGTGTTATGTTCGCTACATAGAAAACTGAGTAACTTGGATCAATTCCTCCTTGGGCTTTTTAAATGTCTGTATCTAGTCATAATGTGAAAAGTAAAAATGTGAGGGTAGCCAGGTGATGCAGGCTTGCGTCTCCCAGCTGGGCTTCATAAGTCACACAAAATCTCCTAACTCACCTCCTGTATAGGTACTAAGGACAGTCTGCTTATTGATATCCCTTGCTACCACACACTTTAAAAATGCATAGCCCTTTCTAGTTACCTTCTAGAACAGACATACTATAACTGTCTTATATCTGGGAACTGTGAGGGTGCAAAAGCCTATTCACGGGTCCTGATTCAGATTTAGGTGGCTTACTAAAAAGTCACCTAGACCTGAGCTGGGATCTGAGTTGGGATCTTGTGTGTGCAAGCATTTGTTGCTCGTTGGGAGGAGGTGCAGGCAGCCAGAGGTAAGTAGTTTGGAGGTGGGGATCTGGGGGAGGGGAGGTGGGACTGGTAGGTCTTTGGAGGAGGGTTGGTGGGTCCATGGGTGGGGCTGCCCTGCCTAGGGAGAGGGTAGTTGCAGTGGGTGATTATCCTCATCAGGGGGTTAAAACAGCACAGCCCCAAGGCTATGATGAGTGGTTGGGCTTTCCCAGTCCTGGAGCTCTACTGTGAACATGTGCAGGCATTCACTAGGCTGGGTTAACCCTTGCTAGATAGGGTTAATTGGTCCAAGGCCAATTTAAAGTTAGTTCACCTCTCAGGGTGCACCATTTAAATTGGGCGCACCATTTTTAGAATGACTTAAATGTGGACACTTGAATACCAGGGCATTGAAATCACCCTGACTTTGGTTAGAGTGATTTAAGTGTAATTTTGTACCTACCCTGAGTCTATAGCCACAATTCTTCCTCAACCAAACATCCACTTTCAGGTTGTCTGCTGTTGGCAGTAATTGCTTTGCCAGTCCTCAGAGCAAAAACAACAAAATTGTTCTGTGCAGGCACAATATCAGGGAAAGTGACCTCCCACCAGTCCTGCAACCCTCACAGCCTTTGCCTTCCTGACTTCTAATTTAGACTCATGCAGGAGCAAACATAATTTAGCACTAGCCAGATAGTTTAATAGTCAGGATGCACAATCCTACCTTTCTGAATACAAAGTTTTTCAAATCTTATGTATAAGAGCAAACCCAGGCCCAATATGTGCAAGATGTGGGTGAGCAAAGGTTATATAGAACCCACATGTTTTTCTACTTTTTTAAAACTAAAAAAGTAGCATACTTTCTATTAGTTTTACATTCCTAGAACATTATTGTTTTCTATTTTGGTTCAGGGTGTTTTGCACCTCTTTATATTTTAGCATTTTTCATTGGAAGAGTGAATTCGGATTTAAAACAATAATCTAACACTGAATTTACATTTGTTGATTATTAAGTACAGCTTGAGGTAAAATACACATATGAAATGCTTGGAATGCTTGTAAGAGTGATCATAATTGAATTTTAGCTCCACACATGTTTCTGCAGGTGCTCCAGCTGTCTGTTACCTTGACAATCAGATTTTTACTGCTTGAACCTCAGTTAAGAATACTTGTTCCTTCTCTTGTAGGCATCTGTTACTGCTACAGGCATGACTGTAATTTGTTGTGTCACCACCAAATACATGTTATATTATGACTCAGCTTTGATATTGGTTGCAGGCACATATATAGTTTCTGTGCCTGTGGGTTTTTTAGCCTGCAATTTGATTCAGATTGAGGATATTACTTTTTATATGTTTCATAAGAAAACTCTGTGACCTAATGTTTTCCAGGAGGCCTTCACATACTGTTTAAAGATAAATGCTTTTTAAGACTCTCCTGCCTTATAAAGCCTTTTCTTGATGCTGCCACCTATAACAACAGATATAATGTAATTCATTACTTTTACATTTTGTGTGAACCGAGTAGAGATTTTGTCTTGACCATTGATTCCTTCATGTATTAGTTATCACCTAAGAAAGGCTAGACCATGTTCTAGAACCTAATCAAAACACTGTTTTTTGATTTAAAGAGTAGGAAATAACCAGCTTGTTACACATCATTAAAAAATTAGCTTGGATTTGCACAGATAGAAACAGATAAGAATAAAAAAATCTTAAAAAATATCAATAAGTTACCATCCTTGCCCTACAAGCTAGTCACCAACTGACTACTGTAAAAAAAAATAGAGCTACTATCACAATGGATCTGTTCTGTTCTACTGTGATTTTTTTTGTATAAAGTGAATTAATAAGTATGTGAAAATAGCTGAAGAGCTAGCTAAGTAGCAAGAGGGAGATAGTATTGGTTAAAGGTCAAAGGGCCACCTGAGCCCAGTGGCTGATTTAGGCTAGTGTGGGTAAGGCATACCACTTTTTGTCACCAATGGCATACAAGAGAATGAGATGGCTAGCCTCATGTATGATCCAGATGATCAGGTATCCACTTTTGTTAATGGAAAATAAGAGATTTCAGTCATAAGTCAGACACAGACATTCAATTTCTATTGGGAGAATTGTCATTGTCTCCATAGAAACCAAACGTGTGCAGATTTTGTTTTTTTTTCTCTCACAGCAAAAATGGGTGCTCCAGGAAAAAAATAACTTGGCAACAAGCAGTGCTAAATTTTTCCCAGGAGAGTTTTTCCAGGGTGACTGATCTTCTTTACACTTTCTCTTGGCTAAATTTCTCCTGGGGACCAGGAGTTGAGCTAATGGAAGGTTCTTGTGCCTAGTTTAGACTGGGGTAGGCTGGGAGATGAGGGGAGTAGCAGTCACTGTCATGGACAGGGACTGTTGCTCCCAGTTGCTGACTTTGAAATTTCCATGACACTGCTCAACTGGGTGACTGTGCAGCAAATGGGATCTGGGCGCTGGGCTGGGGAAAGCCTCCACATGCCTGGGTACCAACCCCCCAGGCTTTTAAATCACTACCTGTGAAGCTCAGCTGGCTAGCAGGGGGCAAGGGGAAGCCAGAAGCATGGGGAGCTGGGCATGCAGAGGTTTTCCCCAGCCCGGCTTCCAGCCCATCCAGCTTCCCTTTGTTGCCCAGCTGATCTAGAACACAATGGGGTGAGGCAGGCTGCTATGCTACAGCAGCAAGGATCAAGAGCAGTACAGTGTGAGGGAGACTGCTGTGCCCCTGCTACACTC